TTAACAAAGGTCTATCCTGGGATCATTCTCGGGTAGCATCATGGTATATTTATGTAGGCCTATATCGTACAATAATTAAACAAATAACATTATAGTAGTCACTAGTCTACTCAATGCAGTACGAATTTGGCGTTAGCCTTGGTCCTGGGCATCGGAATTTTGAAGTGAAGGGGGCGATACTACGTAATGGTTTTATTGAAGGGAGGCGATACTACGTTGAAGGGGGCGACGATTCGTTAGAGGTTGAGAAACACTGAGTTAGATGAACAAAATCCCATCTTACGATCACACGCTACCAAAAATCTCATTCCGTCTTCAAAATTAATACGAATTCGGCCTTATTATATGATATTGTATATTAATGTTGAGGATCAAATCGTATGCACATGCACAGATAAAGTTCGGGGGGGCGAAACATTGCTTTTACTACTATTAAAAATCTCATTTACGTCTTGTTTACGTTACATCCCTTCATTCATTTATAAGTTACCGTCTTAAAAGCATTTGTAATATTTCTATAACTTTATCTTCGACCGTGTGTTAAATAGAAAAATCTCTTATACTTAGAATTAGAACGGGAAATGTCTTAACTGACTCTAATCAGTTAACAATGGACACGAAGGATGAACTCGAAATGATGTTATAAGAGTAATTAAATATGTCTAAATTATGATGTACCTGTATTATAATAAAACGTATAAAAACTGAACGGTTTAATTGACTTTTTCGCATGAAATTAAAAAAAAAAAAGTTATTTAAATACACGAAATTGATTCAAATGATTGCTTTAATCTCAAATTTTATTAACAATTTCACGTTTACATAAAATAATATTTTAAATTAACAAAGGTCTATCCTGGGATCATTCTCGGGTAGCATCAAGATATATTTATGTATACATTTTTCTTATATATATATATATATATAGATAGATAGATTTAAAGGCTAATAAATTTAAATATATAAATACTTCAGTAAAACTAAATATCTCTATTTATTATACTTGTTTTAACTCTCTATCCTATACCTCTGTAATTTAACGTACAGTACAGTTGAGTCTCCATATAAAGACTGGGTTGATCATTTAATTTATGTATCTTATTTAATTTATATTATCAAAATACCTAAAAGTAGCTACTTATATATATAATATAACATTAAATTTATCATTTTTACTATTCTTAGTAAGTATATATTAATTTATTCCTCTTAAATTTATAACGTATAACACAAAATTGGGTCTACTTACTTTGAGAACTTTGAAAAAAAAAAAAAAGCTTTATGCTCTTCACTCGTAAAGTCCAAGCTCAAATACTGTCCTGTAGGAAAAATAATTGGTAATTAATACAAGGATAACGTCTATAGAAGTCGTTAAAAAACAAGAGACACGAACATTCTGAAAACCTAAAACATGCCTTTATATACTGTATTTTATATTTACAAACGAGTAAACTGTATAAAGTATACGTAAATAATTGCTACAACTCAGAAAGAATATTAGAATATTAATCTTTTAAGGGATTTCAACCTTTTAAGTGAATTCCCCAAGGGTATTACTTCTAATTACTTCCAAAGAAAGAGGTTTAAAGTGCCCTCGTAAACACCTGGAAAATAATATATTTAAAAGAAACTACAAAGGAAATGCTACAAATTATATATTTTGAAGGGGGTGGAAACCTAATTTCTGATGGCATTCCCTAGTATTTGTGTAAGAAAAAATAATAAAATTAAATTAAAAAAACGTTGAAATTAAATATTTTTTCGGATTATTTATAACATTCTACTCATTAATATTCACTTCCCCTTTATCCATTTATATAAATTGTCTCAAGAACATGAAAATATTTCCATAACGTTAATTGCAAATAACGTATATTTGATATAGAAATAATAATTTAGATATTATATTGATATTTAAACAAGAAATCTAATGATTAACTACTTATATATTAATTTATTTCGTTATAAATTTATAATATAACTTAATGCCATTTAATAAGAGAAAACTTTTATTATTAAAACTATGAAGTGTCGGATCCACTTACTTCAAGAAATTCGAAGAAAATACCAAAAAATTTACTCTTCTCTCGCAGTTCAAATGCTATCCTGTAAAAAAAAAAATTAATAATTATTACGGGAAATACAAATTTGGGATAATTATTATATAACTTTCAACAGGACAAGCGAATATAATCACTTTTATAAGGGGTATTCTACACAGATTGATCAAGTGTCTATGAGAAAGGAGTCGAATTTACATAAAAATAAATTGGAACCACAAGAAATGACTTAACCTTTTAGTAAATTAATTAGCTTTTTATGTAAATTAATGATAAATTACAGCTTACTTCTTATACGTAAAGTTCTTCTTAATACCTAATTATATAACGCGACAAACAGAAGATACAAGAAAAGGAGTCGACCCCTTTACATTAAAAAAAAAATAATAATTAAACGGCTTAACCCATACGAAAATAAATAATTCTAAAATAAGTAATTAATTTTTTTAATTATTTTAAATTCAAATAAACGAGAATAAAGCATAACTTACCAATGAAAATCAGAGACAATTTAACACAACCTGAAAGGATGAAGAACGTTCCTCTACTCCAAAACTGGTTCTGGAATTCCCAACTTAATGCTTAAAGGTGTCTTCTTGGAAAGAACTCTTTGCAATGAAATCGAGGCTGAGTTTAAAACAAATGAGCAGCAAGAGTATATTGACAATTGCCAAAATAAACCCTTCTACATACGAGACACACGATTTCACACTTCATTACACACGTGGTTAAAAACACTTAACGCGGTTTAACAATAGATAATTACTGAACCCAACCAGTGGGTGGGTTATTGTCTATGGCTTTTAAGACTAGTAATTTATTACAGCTTGACATCGGGAGTTTAATTAGTTTTTAAATCTTTCACTTAATCATTGATACCCCCCTTTAATGATTTCAGACTTCGAGAATATAACTTTAGTATTAGAGGAATTCTCATTCGTCCACTTTGAACCACCACAGGATCTTCAAATATCTCGTTGTGTATTGTACAAAGGAAATATTATTAAACGTGGAAATGTACCGTACGTGGGACCCCCTAATTCAAATATGGCCGTGCCCCATCAAGCTATAGGGCCCAGTGGAATACCTATCAAATAGATGGATGTATTAAAACATTGACAAAGGGCTATTATTATACTGTAATTAATAATTAGAAACTAAGTAATTTCCTGAATTTAATAAACAAAATAAATATTATAACTTATTTATTTATTTTTTTTAAAGAATATAACATAGAATAATTGAATTTGTTAACGTTATTATTAGTTTATTTACCTTTTTTTTTACACATATCTAAGTACATATATGTGTTTATAGTTTAATGGCTGCCGAATTATACATTTCTTGTTTAAATATCAATTAAATGCTTCCGTTTTTTATAAAATGTATTAAAATATATAGTAATTTACACATATAACATCTCTAAACCTTATATAAATATATAAAATACAGTATATAAAGGCATGTTTTAGATTCTTATAGATGTTATCCTTCTATTAAAATTGTCGGAAAAATTTATACATTGTTAAAAATCTGTTATTCGATGTAACCGCGATCGTTATTTGTTTATTTGTAGAAATCTTTGGATATAGTCATGCGATGTTACGCGAAACAAAATAAAAAGAAAGGGGGAGAATAGACTGACAGCATACAGCGCTCTCAGCTAAAATATTGCTACTCCACAGCGACAGGGAGCTTAGGGATCGAATTGTCAGTCGATGCTGACTCATCTCGTGATCTGGGTTCTGATCTTGTTACATCTCGTAACGAGAGAAGACCAATTGGAGAGCGGAGGCGACCTTCAAAAACAGCAAGAATCGAGGGCGTGACTTTCTTGATTCGTAGTGTTTCCCTCCAGGAATTTAGTGTACGTAAGCCTTTTCCGACTTCTGAGGATTTATCTTCGCTCTCCAGTGTCATCCAGATTTGCCCATGTCCACCTATTCACGAAAGACAATTCTCGAACCAGTGCCGTGTGCCGCTCTTCGCGTCTTCATCCCCGGAAGAAGGAAAACGACAGATTTGGACTGTTTTGTGGGGAGTTGAGAGGTGTTACGCCTTATTATAAGAATTGTTGTAAGAGAAATTTTTATATTTATTAAACGGATAATGATGGGGAACCTGTCTCAGAGAGTTTTTTTCCACTTTCACACGATCCTGACTAACGTAGTCAGTCGGCAAACTTCACACACTCATTCGCTTCACTCTGCTTTAAAACAACACAAAGAGTCGCAACACAGGGGTTGGAAACAGGTTTCCGCGATACACGTGTGCTGCGAGAGTGATTCGGGTGTGTCGCGGAAATATTAAATAAATTTTAAAATTTTGAATAAGCTTTTTTTAAAATTTCATTTATCTTTTATCCCTTTTATTCTATTCCTATCCTTATCTATGTTTTATTTCTCCTTCCTTAGTTTGTAAGTAGGTTAAGTTTTAGTTATAAGTCGCCCCCACGTGTTTTGTTTCCTTTGTCGCGTGTCGGTTGCCACCACAGAGAATTGTTAGTATAGATGATTATTTTATGTATATCGAACCCAATAGACTGTAAGTTGGAATCATTTTAAAGAACCTGTGTTTGAGAATAAAAATCTTTAGTATTCTTATTCGTTTTATTTGTTTCCTGTTCGCAATAATACATTGCCCCCTAACGGAACATCACATCGCGATGCGTATGATTAAAAAAGACTTTAATGTCACAAAGCATAAAATTAAAATAATAGAAAGAAAAGCTCGAAAACCAATCGTAAAATATTTTTTTACGTATCCTTTTCAAAAAATTTAACGTCCTTTATCGAAATGAATACATCTCTATGGTCTTAAATATATTGAGAAGACACTTCAGGCTAATATTCTGATTTAGAAATACTCACAAGCAAATTCTATACAAATAAAAAATATTTTAGAGTATTAAAAAAAACCTCTTCTAAAGTTATTTAAAAGTTAAGTTTGGTACTTGTTGCAAATAACGTATATTTGATATAGAAATAATAATTTAGATATTATATTNCTTTCAATGTTTTGAGTGTGAGCACCCGTTGTTGGATCAACGAAATTATATTTATGGTTTACAGTAAAATGACTGTAACCTGCTCTTTCTAATTCATCCGTCCTGTAAGCTCGCCAACAGTCAGAATAAATTGTTGATTCTTGTTCAATGTGCTCCACGATTTTTGTCATTAGTGTGGTTGCTTCTCTATTAGGAACTGGAACTAGGAAACAATCACCAGTTTCTCGGCATATTCCGCCGAATATCCACTGTTGTGGAAGAACCCTTCCAGCGTTGCTTTTTCGCCTGGTGAAAAGCGTTTCGTCGATTTCAACGATTTTTCCGGGACCGCCTATTCGCCTGTTCGGTTGTTTCAACAAATGTAAAAAACATACCTCCCTCAAAAAACTATTCCAGTCTATAGTTGTTTTGTTGCAAATATTTAGATGTTTTCGACACCACTTTATAGACGTAACTTCCTCCGTCCAATGGTAAATAAATCTTACCGCCGTTAAAAATGGTATCCGTGATCCGCTAAACCAATTATTAGAACGGATGCTTATCATTACATCACAGCTACTTATAGTGCATCTCCAAACGCCTTTAGAAATATTTAATTTCATTACATGCCCATTTTTACATATTCGTGCACTAGGTAAAATACCTTTCTCTTGAAAAAATAATACAGATTCTTCTTCGGTGCGTGGTAAATCGCATAATGTAGACATTTTTGCTTTCTCACAAAGGTTTGGAAAACACGTGTCTGTTGAAAGGTCAACTGGCCGAGTTAATTTGTTTCGAGGGGATACAAGTACTAGTTGAAATGTTGGTCGCCAGGGCGGCGCCACCATCTGGGATAAAGATTCACAAGTACCTTAAGTTTATCTTTTTTTAACTCCATAAAATTTTAAAAAGTAATCGTAGGAGTTGGCAACACTGATGTTTCAAAATTTGCTCGTTTGGTGTCGCCACCGTTTCTGATGCCATGCCTTCACAACGTTATACACGTGACTATTTATTCGGCCTTAACGATGCCCGTTTCTGTGCTATTTCTACGTTATTCTTACGATGATTCATTGTGAAATAAAGAAGTTAAATGAACTCAAAAGTTATGTTATAAATTAAATAAAAAAACATGAAAGATGGAACAAACTAGAGAATGTAGGTGTTTAGTGTAATCCTCCATGTTTAGTCCTGTCAATATCTTAACATATTTCGCTCCAGTTACTAAGAAACATGCCGTGCTGCTGTGTCGTTGATTGTACAAATCGTACCGAAAAGGGCTTCAGATTATTTAAATTACCTCAGGGACCTAAGAACGAGGAGAGACGAAAGATGTGGATTAAAAATATAGGAAGGAAGGGTAACCTGTCCAGTCAGTCATATGTTTGTCAAGTAAGTAAGCATTATTCTGTGCAGTGTACAAAGCTATTATATAATCAACATAAAAATCTATTTATAACAAAATTACACCAAATAAATCTACATACAAAATGGCTATAAAGTTTCTCTGCATGAAATTATATTCAGAATTATAAAGTTACATAACATGATGAAAAATTCAATGGATGATGCTCCGTTACAGATGTTTTCAGTTTAGATTTAATGTGTGAAAACTTTACTTGCCGTTTACTTTTTATGATCCTAAAATAGGAAATTTGTCTGATTAGATTTATAATAATCAGCTGTTTTAATGATTTCTAACCACCAACATAAGCAATGATGAGGAGAATATAGGAGAATGTGCAGATATCTTCTAATTACATTCCCTTGTAAATTCAACTCGCTCAATGAAAACATTACAAATGAATTTAGATGAAGGACCCTTGTTAGAAACTATTTTAACATTATTTAAATGTACAGTGATGTCCTTGTGCATCTATGCATCTTTGTATGTGCATAATTTTGTTCAGACTGAAACTTTCATAAAATATTGATGTCAATAGCTTCAATGCTTCTGAAAATGCTTTCCTTCAGTTTGTGTATAGTTCTGGAATTGAACTCATATACTTTTCTCTTGTAAATTTTATAAAAAATATTTAAATCATTTGTTTCATCACCTCAGTTAGGCAGATTTTAAGTGGGACACCCTGTAGTATGCATAGAGATTTTGTGCATATTCATGATTACTTTTTATATTTAAAATGCTGAAAATTTAAACTTAAATGAATTAATACTACATTCCTTTTTAGATAACATTTTAAAATTGATAAATGTTAAAGAAATAATAATAAAGTAGCTCATATCAAAGATATAGTAACTGATGCTGTTATTATTATTATTTGAAACATTTTAAAATACCATATAAATAAAAAAAATAGTGTTATGCAATTACTTTCATATGAAATTGTTGCTGTTATAAAAAGTAAAATGTCCATATATAAATATATATAAAGTGACAGCTCATTCTGTAAACAACCAAAGTGCTTGCTTGAGACTCCAAATAGAAATATTTGCATATAAAATTTCACTTATAATTATCTTTAGTTTTTGTTTGATGGGATAAGGCAGTAAAACAAATGGTAATTTGCCAAGAGACGTCTCTCAGGATAACCCAGCCCTTTACGCAGTGCCGCATCTTGGCAGGTGCAACAGGTGCACCAGCACAGGGCCAAAAATGCATGTATTTGTTTTATTATTTTCCCAAACCTAATTGATTAAGGGGCCTAAATGCAAATTCTTGCACAGGGTGCAGGAATGGCTAGTTACGGCACTGCCTTTACATGTCGGATATGTGAAGTAAACCCAAAAAACTTCACATAACTAATCTGTTGGTTAGGTGCAAACCCTAAATTAAATACCAGTGTTTAGTGGTTATCTTCTTGGCCATTAGTGAGCCTCGTTTATAATTATTAAATGGAAAATTTAAAAGAGTTCCAAAGTTAATTGATGTTTACAGTCTCCAAATTTGTATAAATATCATTGTGTGCTTGTGTATATGTTACTGTAAAAGTCCAAAGTCCACTAAATCTTAGAACTTACTGGTAAGTCCGGGCATTTACTGGTATTAGCTGGTAAATGTCCAAATTTACCAATCGGCTTGGGTGAAAAAAGTATTCCTGTGTATCTGTTGTTTTGTAATATACTTAAAAATATAGATTAAGAAAATGAAAGTATTTGTGTAATGATTGGGCTGTAATTGAAAAAATTGTAGATTTATAAGTTCCCATAACCATCCAACTCTGTCTGTTTGTCCTTCCTTAATGTCAAGAACAGTTTTAGACAGATGAAAGTCAAGACGAGATAAGGAAAGCTTAGGGCCATGAGATCCAAATTAACTATATACAAACTTTGGGACTAGATTGGAAGTCGTGATTTGAATTCATAATGTTCCCCTGAACAGAGTTACATAGATGATCAGCAAGACTCTGTTGTTATTAGGAAAAGTATGATGTACAGGAGCAAGGCACTACTAATTTGAGATCGAGAATATATATAGTATTTCAAATTAAATAAGTTAAGAATATGATTAAAAATTGCAGCACAGCATTGTGACAATGTCATATTAATCTTTGGTTTTAGTTGATTTCTGAAAATAAATTTTGCAAGAAATAAGCAGTGTAGATGAATAAGTTGTCTATTATATGATTTTTGTGTTTACTTAAGTCTTGCTTTTAATGCAGCAGAATGAGAGATGTAATATGTAACAGATTTTATAAACTTTTAACCGAATTAGTGAATAAGAAAAAAGACAACAATTCGTACTTAACTAATGAACAATATAACACACTGTTAAGTGAAGAGATGCAAAAAATGTGGCCAGTAAAACAAACTGTTTACTATAGATGTTTGAACAGGTATAATGCTCTCAACATTGGGGATGAAGAAAAGTTAATAGCACCAGTGTCTTCTGAAAAAGAATAAATTCTTTACTACATTTGTTTTGATGAACTGTTTAACCTGATACATGAAATCTACATCGCTATCGGTCATAGTGGAAGATCTCGGATGGCTATGGAACTGAATAAGACAAGTATAAAAACGTGACTATTGAATCTATCATTACTTAAGATTATGTGAACCTTGTCAAAAGAAACAAAAGACATTGATAAAAGGTGTTTATTAAAACCCATCGTATACAACAAAATGAATTTACGATGCCAGATTGACTTAATTCATATGCAAACCAATCCAGACAACGTATCAAAGTTAATATTGGTAGACAAAAGTTCATTTGACAAAATTTGTTATTCTCCAAGCATTAAAATCAAAAATGGCTGAGGAAATTGCATATCATCATTAGGATATATTCACAACTTTTGGCACACCTAATATCCTTCATTCTGATAATGATAGAGAGTTTTATAACCAAGTTATCCAATGTTTGTGGCATGTGGGCTGATATAGAGATAGTTTGTGGAAAACCAAGGCACAGCCAGTCTCAGGGATCGGTCAAACATACAAACCAAGACATCAGAAATATGTTATCAACTTGGATGGAGACAAATTAACTTCAAAATGGTCTGAAGGAATGAAGAATAGAGCTTATTATGGATCATATGTTCACCATATGAAGCTGTTTGATGTTTCATTGAAAATGGGTATTGCTAGCTCAGTTATTCCATGTGACTTAGTAAACAATGTAGACATTGAAGATGATTTGGAAAAAATGTTAAATGCTGGAAATGGAGTAATGCAGCAAGAAAATATAGTTGGATCAGATGAAGCAACAGGAACACAGCATTTGGCATTAGTTGAAACTGAGAGAGCGGATCCACCGTTATCTCCTGAAAGCTTTGATGTGACTCCAACAACTTCTATCAGTGCTGAAAAAACTATGCTGTGGGCCTCGAACAGGAGAGCGACAAACAAATTCATTTTCTCGACGTGAACATCATAGTTAAAGGAAGGTCTATCAACACAGAGGTATACAGAAAACTTCAGGCAGATCAATTGTATATCCCTGCGCATTCATGTGACCCATGGCAGTATAAGATAGCGGCCTTTAATAACTTGGTGAATAGAGCATACACCCACTCATCGACAACGCGGGCACTGGATACAGAGATCAACACCATTAATATCATGGCTAAAAGACATGGATATAATATAAATAGTAGGATAGCCATGAGAATCGAAAAACTGATGCATTCATGAAGAACAGATCTAACAGAACCGCAAGGGCAACAAAGTAACAATCAGAAAGACAGAATCCTAGTCACTTACAATCCGTACTTAGAGAAAATCTACAAAGAGATCGCCAAAAGAAAACAAGCCTCCTTAATATTTAGAAGATGTCCCACTATATTTAGAATGCTAAATAATGCAAAAGACACTCCACATCAAAACAAATTAGCAGGAGTATACAGGATCCCTATAAAAGATCATAGGTGTGATAAAAGTTTAGTATACGTGGGATTGGCAAAAAGATCGTTGGAGGTGAGGATCAAAGAACACAAAGCGGACATCCTACGTAAAAGATATTCGACAGCATTAGCACAATTTGCCACGGACCCTGATATACAAGCTGTATTTGACGAGGCAAAGGTAATTTACACACACAGCTAATACACCATTTGCGCTGGATGGAAGCGATATATATCTATAAAACAGCAAGAGAAGACAACTGTATAAACAATAAAGATGAACTGTCCTTGTCAATGGCATGGCAAGCTCTTATTTATGACACTTGAGAAGCCAAAAGCGATCCTTCTATCTACTGAGCATGCGCAAGTTTAACACGATGATTGCATGAATTTCCTTAGAACATTGCATTCAGATTTCGAATAACATCGATTCTACCCGTTTCACCTGAAGAAGAACTAAGTTCGAAAACGTTAGTGGAAATATTTGGAAATAAGCACTGTTTTGGTTTACTGCAGAAGTAAGTCGTTTATTTTTACAGTGTGTTTAGAGGAGATTATTTAAAAACTATGCTGTTTCAAAAGACTGCCAAAGGAGGCCTTGAAATGAGGGTGAAGAAAATGAAGATATCCTCTTGTAATAAAATTCCAAAACCTTCATTTGGACAGAACATAAGAATCAAAGTACCGGATGTAGACTGAGCACAAATCGATCCAAAATCAATAATAGATGGTCATAAACATTGAGGATGATGATTTGCATGTATGTTGTTATTAAAAATTACATCTTTTTGAAGCTGAATATTTTTGTTTTCTGAATTTTTTTATATTTTTAAGTATATTACAAAACAGCAGATACCTACAAATACTTTTTCCAGCCAAGCCGATCGATAAATCCGAACTTCGGACTTTTACAGTAGCATATCTCATAGATGCAGTTTATTAGAGGAAAATTATAACCTTAATATTTTCAGATACATTTTACGGAAGATCAGTTTGAAAACAATCGAATTGACGGGAAAAAGCCGTTAAGGTGGAATGCAGTTCCGACAATATTCAGCCATAATAAAGTATCTTCGCCAAAGAAATCACTTTCAAGTAATTGAATATAGATAGTTTCCATATATTATTAATTTTGTTTTTCTGCATATTTTAAAATATTTATTATTAAGCATTACTTTTTTTAATGTAGAATCTACTGTATCCGAGATTAAGGAGATAGAAGGCAATCAAACAGATGGTCGTGGGTCGGAAAATCAAACAAATCACTATGGATCAATATGTGATCAAGTGAATAGTTATCAAACAGATCACTCAGATTATTGTCAGTATACATTTGACGATAAACAAAATGATCAAGTAATAAAATTGAAACAGAAATTAAAAGCAGCTTATAAAAAAATCAATTCTTTGGAAAAAAAAATTAATAATTTGGAAGAAAATTTGAAAAATATCTTTAGTGATGATCAAATCCGATATTTTGTGAAGGAATCCATGCAAGGATTTAAGTGGTCTGAAGAAACTATAAATAAAGGTCTCAGATTATATCTGTCGTGCGGTAACGGCGGATATCAAGAAATAAGAAAACAGAATTTGCCATATCCGTGTATACGAACTTTGCAGAAGCACTTAGAGGACTTAAAATGTAAATCTAGAACAGTTAACGCTGAATGACGAGTTAAACTCAACAATGCCTGACTTGTATATTTGTTTATATGACTGATGCCCCTCTATCTAATGTTGTGATGATAAACTTTTAGAGTATTTTTTATATTTATTAAATATTTTAAAACAAATATTTGAAATGATTGTGATATCCATTTATGTAGTTTTTTTTTTTAATCTTTTAACTCTATAAGCACTATTGTAGCCTGTCGTCTTGTCTTTCGACAATTTAGCCAGGTCCATAAGGGATTTAGCTTGAATCATTCAGAGACGTGAATAACAGGGCATAACATATCCAGGTCAAACCATTACAAAAATTTCTGAAAATTTAATTTGGATTTGAATCCAAGTTTAAAGTTCGTAAATTTCAAAATAGTTAAATTTTGATTGAGTTTGAATGGAGAATGCTGTAGAATAAGCATTTTAAATGGAATGCATTTATAACTGACCTGAAGTAGGGCAGTCAAGCTGTTCAAAAATGCTTGTCATTGTCAATTTTCTTCTGGAATAAAGCAAAGGTTACCTATGTGATTAATGTTTATACACAATTTCCATTACAGATATCTTTCTGACAGTCTTTTTAATACAGGAGAAACTTTATTATCTGAAAAGGTTTTCAAAAAAAAAAAGAACGTGTAGTGTTTTACATATCAGACCAAACTTTCCATGTAACTGAAATCACTACATCATCTGTGGATTGGCGTACAGTGAACACATGCCACATGTACCATATATAATATTATGGTAGATTTTTAATAAATTTAACCTTAGATACAGTAATTGAATTAAAGTATAATATTTATTGTCCATTGAACTTTAAATGAACAATGCTTGATTCACTCAAAACACAAATGAGTTTATGGATTATCTGAAAAACCCCCAGTCCCGTCAACTTTGGATAATTGAGTTTCTACTGTATTCAAAATTGGTGAAAGTATAAGCTCCTTACTTTGTTTTCTGTATCTTTTAACTGCATTAAAGCATTTTTTTTTTTTTTTTGTTATAATAAGATTTTTAAAAAACTCATTGACGAATTCACATAATCAGCTTTACAATTTAATTTCTTAAAATTGGCACTTCTATTAGCATAATTAAAAGTAATTTTTGTACTTAAAAATATAACAAACTAATAAATCATTTTTCATTATTAGGGTATGACTATGCAGACGTGAGCAAGTGAATTTTCCGAGCGAGTGAGAATATGTGGCGAGAAAAGGTGACGATGTTTCACACTCTTCTGTTTCTCACTCTCGTTTGCGTGGTCGTAATAAACAAGCGAGAAAGAGAGAGCATGAAATGCCATCACCTCTTCTCGCTCGCTCGTGTCTGCTCAGTCCGCACTCTTACTCGGATGTAATTTTTGTTAAATATAGTATACAATACATTTTTAGAATTTTCACTAATGCTTTTAGTTTTTTTAATAATTTTTATAGATATAAATTTTTCTTTAAAAGTATTTTCATCAATCTTTCAATTTTTATATTCAAAGAAATATCTACACAATTTGTGCATTAATCCACTCTAAAACAGGAACAAATTATGCAACATTTAATATCTTCTGTGTTAAATTTAAATTAATTCTTTGCACTCCAATAGTCATTAAAGTTGGATTTATCAAGTTCATTACATAAGTTTTTACATCATTAAATAATCATTTCAAATTAAGTTATGTAACAGAATACGTCGATATTCCAATAAGCTTATTATCTATGAAAATTAATATGCAAGATTAATTTAACAACGTTACATCATTATAAGCTAAACGTATCTAAAACCAGGATTATTTTTGGATAGAATTAACCTAAAAATTAATTAAATTATGGAACTTGATATAAAGTTATTCTTTCTATCCTGTGGGCGGAAAGACGACCCTTTTATCTCATACGTGTTGCGGATTTGGACGAGGGATGGCTGATTAGACTGATATGTCTCCTGATATTTTTGAGCAGTTTAGACTCATACTTGGGCTCCCAGAATGAGCTTGGGTATGAGTCTACAGTTGTGTATCATAGATGTAAACAGTGTATATCACCTGATATACAACTGTTGATGATATAGCAGATGTATATTTATTAAAATCATCTTCACATCTATCTGTATTGATGTACTGTACATACAATGAATTATTACACATTGTCAGCTTCATTAATTAATTTTCCTTACTAAAATAATTCCATTCATTATATTTCTAACCGAAAACATTCTAATTTTTTCAAGCAGCCATAATGTTGTTATATGTAAAATTTTAATATATATAATTTGTTGTGTTTATTCCAGTTTAACTTGAATCAAAAATACAAAACGAAAAAATGGAAATAAATTTTTTACTGTTAAAAACAATGAGAAGTATGTGAATAAATATTTTATTTAGATAATTATATTCTGTATTTGTAGTTCTCTAAATAAAATTTTTTTAGTAAAACCTGCAAAAGCCCGAAATCAATAGAACAGTCCTGTTTTTCTGTCTTGTAGGTTTTCAGCCATTGATAGGTTCTTGTTGCGCTTTACACTTCATTGCAGCATTTCACAAATCACATACTTTTTTAATGAATGTAAGGCAAACTATTGTTGTGAATTACAATAATAACAAACTCTCCACCTGGCTTCAATTCTAATTCAGATTAGAGTTGCCAGATGTGGCTACTTTGTGTCTAATTTGCTGTCTTTTTTTTTAGTTTGGCGTAAAAAATATTTGGCTCATTGGCTACATGAATCCCTTGTTTCGCACCTTGAAGGCACTACCACCTTTTATTCCTACTGGAAAGATCCAGTAGGAATAACAATCTAGCAAGAGGATTGAATAATAATTGACCACAAATACTGAATTTAAAATTAGTCACAGTTAGAGAGAATGGTTTCTTTGAGTTTTTTGGTTATCTAGGGAGTGCAGGTACATCCCCCTCATATATATATATATAATATTGAACTGTTGTTTAATATGAAGTTTAAAAGATAGCCACGATTCGTATCCATATTGTTTACATTTCACTAGTGCAATCAAAGATGTTTAACATGGTCAAGGCTGTCCAAAATTTGTATGGGGCCCGGGATAGAGTGGAGCTTTTTTACATATTTTGAAAATTTATTTGGCGGTTTAAAATCATCTTAAAGCGGGATGGGGCCCAAAGTATCTGGAATTTCCCTGGCATCGTAGGTTCAGCCAGACCCACAATGAGTCAAGACAACTCAACACTTGGAAATCAGCCATGGAAATACCTCTCCTGAGGACTTGCTAGGGAAAATGGTTACTATTTAGACGTTGGACACGCGAACGAGAGGAAACTCGACGTGGCACCTACTACCAATGTTTAGAACTTTTATCCACTCGGTTACTGGTGGGTATTCACAACTATTCATTGGAACTACATGGAGTTTTGACTAATCTATAAGGTATGTTTTAAGGATCAAAGATTTTCATCGAAGAAACATTACCTTAACTAAAATTTAACTTAAAAATTTTGTAAAAGGCGGAGTTTTGAAACAATTGTAATGTAACAATAAAGACAGACAACATTGTGATGAGTTAACTAAATAATAACATTCCAAACAATATCGAGACTAAATTTGCAAGTTTGAATTTTAACATTAGTGGCGATCTTCACTCTAAATTACCCATTTAGAAACATCAGAAGTACAACATGGGAATTTTACCATCGAAGGTAACAAATAATCGTATTCTTTTATATAACAAATATAATACAGTCGAACTTCTGAACGACGATTCATTGTTTAAAAAAAAATGGCCGCCGTCTAGAAGTCGTTACTGGAGGTCCAACTGTATTTCTATGTAATTACAATAATATTTATCATAATTTTCAAAAATTGTGTGTGAATCATCTGTTATAAATAAAATCTCATATTACTGTATTATTATAAAAAAGGTTTACTTTTGAGGGTAGAAAGGAGATTTAAAATAATTGTAAATGCCAGTAACGAGTAAGATTTTCATTAAGTCTGACTCCATTCGAGATATGACACGATCTCTTGACCTTTAACCCACCAGAATTTCATGGTAAAGCAGCTAAGGTACCATCCTACCGCTCTGGGGGACCTGGAATCTCATCTGGACGGGAAATCCCAGGAATTATTCGGGGCCGCCCCAAGACAGTTTGGTTTGATGGCATAGGGCAAAGCAACTTATAGGCGATCTGCCAAGGGAAGACTTTCTAAGGTTAAGATCCTATTTAGGTATTAGACCCCGTTTGTCGGACACGAACCCACGATAAGTGTTCAGTCCACTCGGTCACTGATGGGCATCCACGTAACCAAACCAAACTCAGAGATGTGAGCATCTTTGGCATCGTCTTTCTTCTCGAGCCCTATATACTCTTATATATGAGAAATTATTGGCTATTTATTTATTTCTCCCGTACTAAATAGTAATAAAACAAATTATTATATTTAAAAACATTCATTTCGAGCTTATTTGTGTAATTTAAACTACAAATCGGTGTGCCGAGAATGGACTAGGAGGAATAGGCTAGTCCCACTAAATTCAAGTCCATAACGCGATTTAAATCTGTGAATGTTGTTACAAATATCAAATGAAAATGCAAAATAATAATGAAATATAACGATTATTTTATCTACTTGAGACGTAAATAATAATCTAAATATCATTTTATCATTAAAATTTAACTTTCAAACCAAACCATTATCAATTTTAATTATAGCAATTACAATCAGAACAATGAAAGTTAATCAACTGATACAATATATTGTTTACTGTATTGTTCTTTTTTTTTAAAAAATTCATTTTTGAAAGGCCTACCACAGAGGGGCCTTTAAAATTTAATATATTAAAGTTTTCTTAATCAAATTTTGTAATTTTTATTGCTTTCTGAGGCCCCATTTGTGATACAAATTCATCGAGCCACTCTAGGCCCCGATACTATTCAAATTCTAGTATTGAAAATATTACATTATGGTATTTTCTACACTCATTTATTATGTATAAAATAAATAAAATGGGTTTTATAGAATATACAACGTATCGACAAACGAACAGTCCTTACGAAAACATTACAGTCGACCCCCTATAACACTTTTGATTATTCTGTTTTATATGAATTCCATGTTGTACGAGTCACTTAGATTTTACAAATACGTGTGCTGACTGTGAACGGCTCACATATTTGTAAAATTTAAGTGACTCGTACAACATGGAATTCATATAAAACGGAATAATCAACAGTGTTATAGGGGGGTCGACTATACTCGAGTTTATATTGTTTAATTGTTTTGTTCCGTTTTTTTTTTAGGACGGAGTGAAGTTGCCTACTCTCAGCTTATTTATGAACGAGGTAAAGAATATATATATATATTTTTTTTAAATGAATTCTATAAATCTCTTGAATATCTGCAAAATATTTTAATTAATTTACAATTTAGAAACCACTAAACGATAGAATAAGAAAGCAGAAATGTCAAACCAGATCTTATCTATCGCATAAAATCTATAAAACAGAGTCTCGTTATTTAGAAAACAAAGACAATTGGAAATTAACACAAGTTATAGATGCAAATTTTTACTTTAAACCAAATTCCGAATCACGTCCTAGTTTCCATTCGATGAAAAGCAGTTCCGAATCGATATCGTACGTGACGTGTCGACAAACGGACGTACCCAACGGAAGAGGAAGGCACGTTTCTTTACCTTACGATAAAATGAAATACCATCCGAAAATAAAGCGTTACGTTCGAGAAATTAGAGTAACCGAATCGCAGGACGAAGTAATCATGCCGGAAGTTCGAATATCCGAACACTCGACTGCCTTAGAGAATGATACGAGTGCACTCGAAAGCTGTAATCGAACGCGAGAGAGCGATTCCGATGCGTACAGAATCGAAGCCGAGTTCAAGAAGAGGAGGAAACCGAAAACGTACGACGATTCGTCTACTTACGAAGCAATGGTGAAGGAAGAAACAAACGATAAAGGTGGAAGAAACGTGTATGTTACAATATCAGAAGAGAAAATTATGCCCGTTATATAATTTATGCACAATAAAAATCGATTTTATAGAATTTCGAATAATAAAAATTCGTATTGAAGATAATATAATTAGTACAAAAAGTCTACCTTGTAACATTGATTAGTGTTTAGTATATAGTGATGTGCCGGATCGTTAAAAATGCATATCCGCGGATACGGATACGGATCTCAACTTTCTGCGTTAATAATGCGACGTGTTTTGACTTGCACTGCGCGTGTTTTTGTTTATGGTGTAAAAGTGTGCTAAATTAGAATTCACCACAAAGGCAGACAGGATAAAGTATCAAAAGGTGATATAATTTTCCAATTAAGCTATTTCGCGTCTTTATAGTGTGAAAGTGTGATAAATTAGAATTCACCACAAAGGCAGACAGGATAAAGTATCAAAAGGTGATATAATTTTCCAATTAAGCTATTTCGCGTCTTTATACAGATTGTATTTCGGGCAATTCCAACTTCACGGTACAAACAGTAGCGTGCGAAATTACAGCGATAATAATAGTTCGCTGTATCCAAAGCACGTGTACAATACAGATTCCGATTGCGACAATATAACCCGGAACCTTAAAACTAACCTTAAACACTAATAACAGAAAAAGGGATAGAATTAAGAAGACAGAAAAAAAATGGTAGATAAGATAGAAATAGGGATATCTGGGGTTTTGTCCCTTTTTTCCGGCTTGTTTCTTTATGCGTACTGTTGGGTAGGATAACACACGTCCTTCTCCTATAACTGGCCAGTTCTCTTCTTCAATAATTAGGATTTTTCCTTCCACAGTCGTCAATACGACCTTAAAACAGGATCTTTTTTCTGAACTATCCGGTCATTGAAAATACGACTCCCAGTATTCTCACCTCGTCCGTACACTCTGCCGTCCAGTTTACGAATGACCTGCTACGTCACTTCTCTTTTTTTCTCCGGCTCCTGTTTACACCTTTGTTCCTCAAATTTCTAATAAATGTTCATCCCACCCAAGGGACAGGGAATAGATAAGAGAATTCTAGAACAAAATAGAACAAAGGGTAGAAAGAAGAAACGAAACTAAACTAAAATTAATATTTACAAAAATATAGCGTACCGCCACAATAGTTTAGTGCAGTGTTTCCCAACCTTTTTTTGTGCTATGCCCCACCTAAGCCTTTCTAAAATTCTTATGTCTCCCTAACATATACAGCGGCTATACGGTTAATTAAGTTAAACTCTGGACAAGTCCATTATCGAATTGCCCTCCTTAGCAAATCCAATTGCCCCCTGTGGGGCGTGGGCCCCACGTTGGGAAACACTGGTTTGTGGCTAGCGTGACACCGGGATAGGGTAGATTACGTTTGTGTTTTTGGAGAGTGTTGAGTTAAATTAAAATAAAAACAATGTCGACAAAAAAATTTAGTAGTGTAATATGGAAATATTTTACGATAGTAAATGACGAATGTGCTATTGCTACCTATCTTTAAAATTTCATATAAGTAATGAAATTCATTAAGATAAAAGATCCGCTAAAAATTAACGGATACGGATTTTTTTTCCCTCGGATATCCGCGGATACCTATACGGATACGGATATCCAGCACATCACTATTTAGTAATAAGAGGAAGTGTTGTAGAACACGTTTAATACACTAGAAAAGGGATCGATATTGTTTATTTTTAATAATTTTGCGCTGTATCGACTAAAAAAAATTAAATTTATCAGCACTCCTGAAAATCCGAGTGTAGATAACAGTGTAATCAACGTGCGAATCAGCTTTGTTTTACACACACAAAACGGTGTTTGCCGTTATGACGTCAAACATTTGCACAGTTGATTTTCGTGTTTAATAGTCGTTAAAGAGGTATGTCTTGATTCGATATGGATGACGAACGATATAGAAACAGTGGAGAAATCGTCAGGAGTGTTTTACGTCAGGTTGATTTGAATACATCAAACGTTCCTTATAATCAAAGATTTCAGGATGTGCATTCGATCGGACGTTTCGAATGTATTTTGTGTAATCGCAAGTGGAAATCCAGATATTCGTGGATCACTGTCGATTTGTATAACGCTTGCATACATAAATGGTGGTTAATGAAGTGCAAAATATGCTTGCATATTCGTAAACCCTGGTTTGATCCTGCATCATTAGAAAAAATGGTGGAGATAGCAGCTAACAGGTCGGTGTCTTTCGCTGTTTTTGAGAGAAATTTGAATGTTTTTTTGCAGGTTATTTTAATTAAAAATTTATTAATTTAGTTTAAAAGGTAAATTAATTAATTATCTAATAATAAAATGCATACCTTGCATCAGCTGTCTTATCTCACACTGATTCGGTGCAAGAGATAATCACATTAGATATTCAGGACTTGTGTGCAAATTTAAAAAAAAATTAATTAATTAGCATTTAAATTAATTAAATTTTTCTATATTTTAGATTTATAAAATTGAAAAATGATGGCGGTGACGACTTCGATGACAAGAGCAGTATAATCAATCCAAACTGGGGAAGAGGACCACACATTAATATCCTGTGCGAAAAGTGTGGATGGGGGGCAAGATGCTGCTGGAGGAGATAAAAAAACAAGTTAATTAAATAAAATAAATGTGCTATTTATTTAATTAGAAATTCGCTCTGAATAATAGTAAAGTTATTTTATATGTAAACATTGAAAAACTTGTGATTTAAGGATCACAAGAGGGATAAGTCTGGAATGTGCCCACGTTGATTGAAACCAATCAATTCATCGATCAAGTACTATGAATATTGTCATACAATACACCATTTTGTCCATTATGATATCAATAAACATCATCTTTATATAAACGACAAAGGAAAATCAATATTTCCTTTCGTAATTTCATTATATTGATTTTTCTACAACAAAATAGAAGTTTATTTTTATATGATACAGTAGAAACCTGTGTAAACCGGAACTACGTGATACCGATTTGACAGGCATCCGTTTTGAACACGTTTTATTATTATTATTTTTTAATCCTTGTGGGAAATCCTATTTGCATTACAGTAGAAAAGATCATTGGCTTGACATTTTGGCAACTTTGAATTACCTTATTCACAATGAGGAGGAGATAATACAGGACTGTACGTTTTCACGAATTGTATTAGGTGCTTGTTGTGCTCCTCGTTAATTCTAATAATAATAGTAAACAGGTTTTACTGCATTAATTTTATGCATTAACTAAGTTAATGTTAAATTAACTAAGATATAGATAAATTTATTACTGTGTACTGTACATATTTTCTGCACGTTACAAAAATGTGTGTTAAAAAATCATGGTTTTATACAAAAAAAAGAACTATATTAATTAATATAGGAAGTCAATCATGTAAATGTTGAATTTCAGTCTAGAGTTATGTAATTTTTAAAATTTAACTTAAAAGTAGTTAGTTATCATTTATGCTAAGCTATATACCTTTATGCCAAATTTTATAATTTATTTTAAAAAATTAGCTTAATGCTAGCCTGAAAAATAATTCAGTAATTAGTTATGTTTGGCTGTCAAAGCTAGAATATGATAGAGAAGTCATACAGGGTATCAAATGCTAAAATCTTTATAACAATAGCTATTGTTAAATTGATGCAAAGAACAGAAATAGCTTTTATATAACTATACAATGCATTATTTCATCAGTAAATATTTTATACAAATAAATGATTTCTCTATCAAAATCATCTATAATTTAATAGTATTGATTTTTCTATGCCGAAACAAATTTTTAAATATACATTAATCAACGATTTGTTAATAGTTTTCTGTGTTCAAAAATTAATAAAGTTTTGAAACAGTTGAACATTGACTTCAACACATTTCTAACTTCAAAAAAGATTAATTTTTCTTGAATTTAGTACAAAAATTAAGTAAATATAGTACATAAAATGAGAAAAAAAACACTAAGTTACAGAAGACTTATATTTATTCAGATAATAGGAAGTTATAATACTGTAATATACCATTTATGTAACACATTACCATTATAAGATGACTTTAAAAATGTTTTAGGAATTAATTTGAAATGTTTTCTGTTTGTTATAAAAGCATTCTTCATTCAATTTGGTCAAGGATTGCTATTTTTGATGATGATGATGAGTGTGTTATGATCAATGGAAACGGAATTTTAATTTTTAAATAGAAATTTATTTAATAAAACATATGAAAATGATACAAGTTTACATTTACAAGTTTTAACTGAAAAATCAGATCAATATATATATATATATATAATATTTATATATAAATAATAACTGTACAGAACAATAATTTATACAATATAAACAAATATTTGTTGAAGTGTATTTATTATCAATAAAATTTTGATGGCATAACTTAAAAAATTTCATTTTTAATTTGTTTATATTATAAATGCTATTGTTTAAAAATGTACAAATTAATTAAAATATTCTCATAATTTATCCCGTAATGGTTTGTTCTGTAAGGAGCTGTCTGCGTAATCGTTCCTCTTGAGAATGAATATTTTCTTGCTCGATATCGTCGTGACTAGGATGCCATAATCTTGTGATTATTCTTTCTATATTGATGGCATATACTGTGTGTGACGAGATACAGCTCTTGTGAATCTAAGAAAACAAAATTTTCAATCATTTTTGTTAAACTGATTAACATATCAGGTAAAAATTTTTATTTTTATATTACAGAATAATAATGAAATGTACTCTTCTTACAATTTAATAAATAAATACAGTAGAGCATAGATTATCCAAATATCAATCAACCGAAATGTCAATTAACTGAAAGGTTTTCAATCGGCAAATTTAAATTTTCGCTAATGCTCTGGCGCTGCTCCAATATTATTTTTGTTGGTGTGCGTGTTTTAGCTGGCAGCACTGGCGTGACCATGAGAGGGTACTTAAGAACACGCCAGTATTTGAACGAATTTCAACATGGGATAGGTTAATATATTTTTTTGTACATAATTGGTTATCTGAAAAATTGATTTTCCGAACAACCCCAGTCCCCAATTAATTCGGATAATCGATGCTCTACTGTATACTTATATGTACTGTACATATTAGAGAAATCTACATTAAGGAGACTCCACACATTTGGTATTGGCCCTTTGGTCCTACACAATATACTGACAAGGAGTGGGAAACAGCAAATACTGAATATTAGTCACAAGTAAATCATCTACACTACTCAGTATTAGCCTAATTTTTGCTCAGCATTCAGCAAATACTAAATAGATGGAGGTATCTTTATCATTTATTGTTTTTATACAATTTTAATATAAACTAATTCACATTCAACATGAACTGCAAAAAAAAATAAAACACGGCGGTATTATGTTTTTCATTGTAACTAATAATCTATTGAGTGATGAAAAAAATTTATTTATTTTTCATTATTCTTTTTTTCAACTTAATTATCAATTGAAAACACTTGGGATGAGAAAAACTAGTATGCTTAGAAGTATATATAATGTATTCCAAGTTCTAATTAGTCTCATAACAAAATTGAATAGAACCTGGAATAGCACCATAAAGTGTTATTATGCTTCCATGCCATCAACCAAAATGGGTAAAAAGCATTACATATTGTCAACATTTATCACAAATTCACACTGTAAAAGAAAAAAATAATAATACCATCAGAGCTTCAAGTAAATCAAATGGTGAAACAGGTGGAAGATGTTGAGTTCGACCGCTACTAGCTATTTGTAGAGCTATTTCGCTTTCACATTGATCAATTGTTGGCTTGATGCTTGGAACATGTTCCCCAAGTGCAGAAATAGACGTCTGATTGCTAAAAATAAATGTAGACACATTTACAACATAGTTTTTAACACAGTACTGTATCTATACCTATTTATAGTGCTGTTTAAAATACCTGTTATCTGTTCGATCCAAGATTTTATTTGCATTTCTGATGTATGGATTAATGGGTGGTGTGCCCATTGCATACTGAAATTTTCCTTCTCTGACTTTATATGCATTTCTACGACTAAAAACAGCCATGAGAATTGTCTTTAATTGTTGCTGAAATACAAATAAAAATAATCATGTAGCTTTAGTCTATTATAGATATAAACATAATACAATAATAAATTTCATTCAAATAGAAAAGATATTTTCCACTCACCTGAACAGCCAACATCATTAAATGAGCAGAATTATCATCCACTCCATCCAGACCACAATCCCATGCAGTAACAAACATTCTTCCATGGATCATGGATATATCAGGTAGAGTATAATCTCGGGAACAGAAAGATAATCTATTGTCTTCTTGAGGATCTTTGGCTACAGCATGTGGAGCATACTGTACAAAACTTACAGGTTGAAATCTGTGCTGTAAAAACAAATTTATATTATTAAAGAACTTGTGTATAATTATAAATTGAATATTTTATCAAAAGTTCAACTTTTATTACAATTTAATTAAAAGTTTTGTTTGCTTTATTTTGAAAGAAAAAATTTAATCATAATTAGAAATTTTGAATATTGATTATTAAATAAAATTTAACTCTTAATTTTGCTTTCTTTCTTTCAGTGCATATGCCATCATTGTCGTTATATTTTATCTACGTTATCAACTAATATTTTAAATCAAAATATAATAACTAAAAGGTCAGTACAAAATATATTTTACAAAGTATCAATTGAAGACAAAAGATAGATAAAATTTAAAGACTTCCCACATCCTTCACAGCCCACAGGAACACACAACATTAATGGAGTTAACCTATTGATATTTTTTTAGCTTGAAAATAATGTGGGAAGACTACAAATTTTAAGTAAATTTTGTCTTCAATTACAATATTTGTAAAGTGTATGTACAATTGATATATTACTTTACTGAAATTAAACAAAATTTTGTTTTGACATGGATTTACCTTTAACTATCAACTTTTATTACTATTAGTTTTGGTAATTATAAAGTAAAACAAAACTATTTATAAAAGAAGTTTATTAAAAAATGTTACTTAAAGTTTAGTTAAGATTACTGTATTTCTGCATATATAACAGTATGCTCTTATACAAGCATACTCTTATTTATATCCAAGTATAAGAGTGCACAAACCTATAGATGAGACAAAATCAGCACTATATTCTGCAAAGTATCTAAAAAACCTCACTTTGTTTAAAAATATTTATAATATTAAAAGCATATTTTTTCAAATTTTGGCTTTAATAATGGTTACCAGAGATGCCACTGAATAGTTACTGTATCAATGCATTTACATTGAAAGCAGTGCAGCATTCTTATAATCACAGAAAAACATTAATCTTTATCATTTATTTATATACTTGGTACATGCAGGAAATGGTTGGGATCAATTTGTTGTTAAATATAAAACACTAAATCTAACAGATAAATTAAAGTTAATAAAAAAAAAACTGAATTAAAATGAATGATGATAAAATAACCAAGAAAATACCTCAAATGTAGCTCTCATAGGACGACATTTTCTCTTCAATTTTCCTTTTTTCTGCTTGTCTTTATTTTGAAAATGACTAGATGAATCCTTAACTGCTAGAAATATTGGCATTCATTTTGATTTATGTTCATCATTTGATCTATTTTAAAAATTAAAAATGCACTTACCATGACTCTGACAAAGACAGTGACATTTATTCAGTACTGCTAGTAGGAATTCATTATGTAAATGAACTAGAAATAGAGAGGGAAAAAATACTATATTTTACAATCATCATCATAATCTTTGTTACAGTTAAGACATTCAATAAACTTAAACATTTTCAGAAATTTGTTTCATTTTCAAATGGCTTGCATTATTTCAAAAATGAATAATTTTGTAAAATTTTTAAAATTATATTTAATTCTTTTAAGTCTTCTAAATTATAATATAAATTTGTAAGCATACTAATTAGAATAATTGTAAAAGAGAATACTAATTTCAAAACTACTAACAATTTAAATAGCATTTTAATGAAATTTCTGAAATCCTGCATAATTTTTTTTTCTATTCAGGGGAGGAAAAAACGTGTTATATGTTTTCTGTAAATGAAATCTCAAAAATTTCAAATTGCTTGTGTCAATTCTTTTAGTTTATTACTCTGTTCAATTTAACGGAAATTTTATCAATTTAACCAATAAAAACCCTCCTAATAAAACTAGCTGATTAATACTAAATTAGCACATTACAAAATGAATTACAGGTAACCCCTGTTAACACGGTAGTCACGTTCCAAAAAATTGCCGTGTTATGCCAATCCGTGTTATGCGAATCAAAGAACTAGTACAAAAAGGAGGGTTAGGTTCCAAAAATTAAAAAAGCATGCTACTATATTTTCATAATTAAGTTAAATATCTTTATTAAAATTTTCTTAAGTGATACATATTAATATAAATTAAACAATGTTTTCTTTGTCATCACTAAAAGCACTATTAACCGAGAGCGTTTTATTTTTGGCAAGTTATCGTTATCCTCTGAGCATTTTTCTGCATTATTTTCAGATTCATGCTTTACCTTTTGCAAAAAGTGTATGTAATTTTAGATTGCTTGCTTCTAGTTAAAAGATCTTTATAAATTTCCTTATATGGTGCTAAGCACTTATGGAATAAGGGAAAAACATCTGGCAACACCAGAAGCAGAAGCGTCGAGATCTGGCAAAATTGAAACAATTTTCGCGAAGGACCATGTGTATGGAGACGAGAAAAGAAAATTTACACACTGAAGTACTAATAGTTCACGAAAATAATAATTTTCGTGAACTATTAGTACTTAAGTATGTAAAAATTTATTACATTTCATGTTGTACGAGGGTTTTACCCATTTCTCGAACCGTGTCAGAGTGAATCCGTGCTATAAAAGTACCGTGTTATACGGGGGATGGTACCAATTCTCGAACCGTGTTAGAGTGAATCCGTGCTATAGAAGTGCCGTGTTATACGGGGGTTACCTGTATTGAAATCTTCAATTATAATTAGTTTCAATGGTTGATGATCACTTCTCTGCTAAATATATAATATATTTTGCATTAATGAATAAAATATTCTTTTATAACTAAGCAAACCATATTGTATAATTGAGTTGATTAGAGAGAATATTTGTAAAACTTCTTAAAATCTACTGTATATTTTTCATTATTGTAGTTTAAGTAGGCCTATATAGTATAAACTACAGTATATATATATAATATTGGCAAGGTTGCGGCCAAAGTTTTCTTCTCTAAAACGCAAATGTTGAACGTTGCTATCTTGTAAGTGGTGCTCGACATTCAACATTCATGTTTTAGAGATGAAAACTTTGGCTGCAACCATGCTATTTATTTGAACTTTTATTTATTTATTGAATTTATTTAAACTTGAAACTGAAAAAGCAAAAAGAAAAAACTTTTTACAAAGTTTTAAAAAATAATTTTTGAAATATAATGCAAACAGTGTTAATACCATCGGAATTGAGCACAAAACTGTGTAAAGAACTTATCATTAGTCCACTAATGACAGACAAATAGTCCAAAATGCATTTCCATTTTAGATAATAAAGTCTGTCAAGTAATCAATCACCTGATGTTCCTGTATGATAAATTCTGTACTGCAATTTTGTACTCACTTCTAATGATCTAAAAAAGAGAACAAGAAGCATCAAGTATTGACCAATTTTAATATATATATATATATATGTGTAAATATATAAAGTTAAACAATTTGCTTCAGAAATGTGTATTTTATATCATATTTGATTTATTTAGAAACTTACCTATGTCTGGATTTAGCAATTTTCGAGCTTCAACATCAAAATTCTCTTTTGTAATCTACAAATTAAAAATAGATATACAAATGAACATTTTTTAGTCTTTTTTTAAAATTTGCATAATTTTAAATACTAGGTTACTAGATTAAAAATTCCAGGATGAAATATATCTATACAATATTGAACACAAAATTAAAAAAAAAAATATTCATAAATATCTAATGTCACAAAAACTTTAAAACAATTTGCATACAAACAGGCAGAGAAGAGCCTATAAAGCCTCTGCTCTTTACAATAAGAGTTTTTTTTCATTTTGTTAATGTTTTTCTTTAGAGTTTATTCAAAACTGAATTAAATTTTTATGCTTTAGTGACAGTGTAAAAAAAAAGTAACTTGTAGAACACCTTTAATTAGATGTTCCAATCCTAATCCAATATAAAACCAATTGGATAACTCAAATAGTTGAGTAGGAATTAAAGCTTAAAGTTTCAATAAAAACTATGAAAGCAATTAACACAAGAAACACCCAATCATTAACACAAATTCTGCACAAAATGCATTTTAGAATAGTATAAAGTTTATTAATCAATACACTTTAATTACATTATTCAAAAATGTTTTTTGTGTCTGCAAGTAGTTTCTATAGGCATACAAAATAAATCATTTAAAATTTTAACAATTAAGTTTTTAAAGTGGCATATCATAAAAAATAAATAAACCTTATAAAGCCATACATTATTTTAGAAATGTTTTTGGTTCCTTCAGGATAAGATGAAAAAACACAATTAAAACATTTTTAAAATTACATTCTTTAAATTTTATACATTTTGACACATTTACTAGAAATGAAACAACTAAATGCTTATCACATTGAATGCAACCAATCATTGAAAAAATAAAAATAAATTATTATATTTATAAATATTTAATGTGTAAAATCTAATAATTTGTAAGTACTTACTTTCTGACGAAACCATAACTTCATGTTCTGTAAATATCTGCATAAGAAAAAAAAAAACTTAAACAGTTATATACATTTAATTTAAAAAGTAATGGATTTAACTATTTAATTGATTAAGTCTTAAAATTCTAAATGTTGTTAATATTTTTAATGATTATTTATTTTCTATTGGATTATATAAGTAATTATATTTGCTTCTTTAATAATATTTTGTTGTATTTTTATACATACAAATTACACATCTTTGAACAACTAAAATAATAATTGTTTTGTATCAACATTAAAATATTCTATTCAAATGACACAGTACATAAATTATATTTTTGTTAAAATTCTGTACTTCAAAAATTCAAAACATCTATTTGTTTCAATTGATAGCTGAATGGCTGAAGTGGTAGAGGCCTTCATTCTGGAGGGTTCATTGGGCCATATAGATTTCACCTGTTATCTATTTGTACTTCCTTAATGTCAAGAATAAATTTAGATGAAAATTGAGACCAGATATAGATTGTATATAGTTAATTGGGGCCTCAGGTTTCCATATCTGAGGCCACAATTATCTAACTCCATTCTCAAGACTAAGGAAAGAGACGGACGACAGTGGAATTTGTAGGTCTATGATTTTTTCAAATTGCAGCCCAATTAATATTTTTTCGTTACCACATGATCTCATTGTGAGCCTAAAAAATCCATTAATGGGCATAAAAAAGGAACATCTTAATGCCTACAAGGCAGAGAGTTAACTTAAGCCTAATCAACCAGGTTATTTTCAGGCTACAACAACAATGTTTAAACTAATGAATTTAAAGGTAGGAACAATGCAAGATAGCATCTTAGCATCGTCTGTATTAACTGATAGCTCAAAATAATTCAATTGATAAGGTTTAAGTTAATTATAAAATTTATTTTAGTTGCATTAGTGAAAAGTTCAGATTAGTAAGGTTATATTGGGTGCTTCAAAAAATGTTGATGCTACTACAGAAGTAAATTGGTGTACCAGATTTGTAGTGACATGTTATCCTTCGTGTGGTTCTCTCCATGTGCAAGAGGTTACAACATAATTGTGAAGTTCTCAAAAAAGTACATTCCTACTACCCAATGCAGTGACTTCCACCTTCTCCACATAGGTTTTAACATTTTTTTGAAGCACCTTACTTATAGTGGAAAGGGTTACAAATAAATATTTAACACATATAAGAAGATTTTTCGAATAATAACCTCCACTAAGACTAATAATCGNTTAAAAAATGTTACTTAAAGTTTAGTTAAGATTACTGTATTTCTGCATATATAACAGTATGCTCTTATACAAGCATACTCTTATTTATATCCAAGTATTGTTGAAGTGTATTTATTATCAATAAAATTTTGATGGCATAACTTAAAAAATTTCATTTTTAATTTGTTTATATTATAAATGCTATTGTTTAAAAATGTACAAATTAATTAAAATATTCTCATAATTTATCCCGTAATGGTTTGTTCTGTAAGGAGCTGTCTGCGTAATCGTTCCTCTTGAGAATGAATATTTTCTTGCTCGATATCGTCGTGACTAGGATGCCATAATCTTGTGATTATTCTTTCTATATTGATGGCATATACTGTGTGTGACGAGATACAGCTCTTGTGAATCTAAGAAAACAAAATTTTCAATCATTTTTGTTAAACTGATTAACATATCAGGTAAAAATTTTTATTTTTATATTACAGAATAATAATGAAATGTACTCTTCTTACAATTTAATAAATAAATACAGTAGAGCATAGATTATCCAAATATCAATCAACCGAAATGTCAATTAACTGAAAGGTTTTCAATCGGCAAATTTAAATTTTCGCTAATGCTCTGGCGCTGCTCCAATATTATTTTTGTTGGTGTGCGTGTTTTAGCTGGCAGCACTGGCGTGACCATGAGAGGGTACTTAAGAACACGCCAGTATTTGAACGAATTTCAACATGGGATAGGTTAATATATTTTTTTGTACATAATTGGTTATCTGAAAAATTGATTTTCCGAACAACCCCAGTCCCCAATTAATTCGGATAATCGATGCTCTACTGTATACTTATATGTACTGTACATATTAGAGAAATCTACATTAAGGAGACTCCACACATTTGGTATTGGCCCTTTGGTCCTACACAATATACTGACAAGGAGTGGGAAACAGCAAATACTGAATATTAGTCACAAGTAAATCATCTACACTACTCAGTATTAGCCTAATTTTTGCTCAGCATTCAGCAAATACTAAATAGATGGAGGTATCTTTATCATTTATTGTTTTTATACAATTTTAATATAAACTAATTCACATTCAACATGAACTGCAAAAAAAAATAAAACACGGCGGTATTATGTTTTTCATTGTAACTAATAATCTATTGAGTGATGAAAAAAATTTATTTATTTTTCATTATTCTTTTTTTCAACTTAATTATCAATTGAAAACACTTGGGATGAGAAAAACTAGTATGCTTAGAAGTATATATAATGTATTCCAAGTTCTAATTAGTCTCATAACAAAATTGAATAGAACCTGGAATAGCACCATAAAGTGTTATTATGCTTCCATGCCATCAACCAAAATGGGTAAAAAGCATTACATATTGTCAACATTTATCACAAATTCACACTGTAAAAGAAAAAAATAATAATACCATCAGAGCTTCAAGTAAATCAAATGGTGAAACAGGTGGAAGATGTTGAGTTCGACCGCTACTAGCTATTTGTAGAGCTATTTCGCTTTCACATTGATCAATTGTTGGCTTGATGCTTGGAACATGTTCCCCAAGTGCAGAAATAGACGTCTGATTGCTAAAAATAAATGTAGACACATTTACAACATAGTTTTTAACACAGTACTGTATCTATACCTATTTATAGTGCTGTTTAAAATACCTGTTATCTGTTCGATCCAAGATTTTATTTGCATTTCTGATGTATGGATTAATGGGTGGTGTGCCCATTGCATACTGAAATTTTCCTTCTCTGACTTTATATGCATTTCTACGACTAAAAACAGCCATGAGAATTGTCTTTAATTGTTGCTGAAATACAAATAAAAATAATCATGTAGCTTTAGTCTATTATAGATATAAACATAATACAATAATAAATTTCATTCAAATAGAAAAGATATTTTCCACTCACCTGAACAGCCAACATCATTAAATGAGCAGAATTATCATCCACTCCATCCAGACCACAATCCCATGCAGTAACAAACATTCTTCCATGGATCATGGATATATCAGGTAGAGTATAATCTCGGGAACAGAAAGATAATCTATTGTCTTCTTGAGGATCTTTGGCTACAGCATGTGGAGCATACTGTACAAAACTTACAGGTTGAAATCTGTGCTGTAAAAACAAATTTATATTATTAAAGAACTTGTGTATAATTATAAATTGAATATTTTATCAAAAGTTCAACTTTTATTACAATTTAATTAAAAGTTTTGTTTGCTTTATTTTGAAAGAAAAAATTTAATCATAATTAGAAATTTTGAATATTGATTATTAAATAAAATTTAACTCTTAATTTTGCTTTCTTTCTTTCAGTGCATATGCCATCATTGTCGTTATATTTTATCTACGTTATCAACTAATATTTTAAATCAAAATATAATAACTAAAAGATCAGTACAAAATATATTTTACAAAGTATCAATTGAAGACAAAAGATAGATAAAATTTAAAGACTTCCCACATCCTTCACAGCCCACAGGAACACACAACATTAATGGAGTTAACCTATTGATATTTTTTTAGCTTGAAAATAATGTGGGAAGACTACAAATTTTAAGTAAATTTTGTCTTCAATTACAATATTTGTAAAGTGTATGTACAATTGATATATTACTTTACTGAAATTAAACAAAATTTTGTTTTGACATGGATTTACCTTTAACTATCAACTTTTATTACTATTAGTTTTGGTAATTATAAAGTAAAACAAAACTATTTATAAAAGAAGTTTATTAAAAAATGTTACTTAAAGTTTAGTTAAGATTACTGTATTTCTGCATATATAACAGTATGCTCTTATACAAGCATACTCTTATTTATATCCAAGTATAAGAGTGCACAAACCTATAGATGAGACAAAATCAGCACTATATTCTGCAAAGTATCTAAAAAACCTCACTTTGTTTAAAAATATTTATAATATTAAAAGCATATTTTTTCAAATTTTGGCTTTAATAATGGTTACCAGAGATGCCACTGAATAGTTACTGTATCAATGCATTTACATTGAAAGCAGTGCAGCATTCTTATAATCACAGAAAAACATTAATCTTTATCATTTATTTATATACTTGGTACATGCAGGAAATGGTTGGGATCAATTTGTTGTTAAATATAAAACACTAAATCTAACAGATAAATTAAAGTTAATAAAAAAAAAACTGAATTAAAATGAATGATGATAAAATAACCAAGAAAATACCTCAAATGTAGCTCTCATAGGACGACATTTTCTCTTCAATTTTCCTTTTTTCTGCTTGTCTTTATTTTGAAAATGACTAGATGAATCCTTAACTGCTAGAAATATTGGCATTCATTTTGATTTATGTTCATCATTTGATCTATTTTAAAAATTAAAAATGCACTTACCATGACTCTGACAAAGACAGTGACATTTATTCAGTACTGCTAGTAGGAATTCATTATGTAAATGAACTAGAAATAGAGAGGGAAAAAATACTATATTTTACAATCATCATCATAATCTTTGTTACAGTTAAGACATTCAATAAACTTAAACATTTTCAGAAATTTGTTTCATTTTCAAATGGCTTGCATTATTTCAAAAATGAATAATTTTGTAAAATTTTTAAAATTATATTTAATTCTTTTAAGTCTTCTAAATTATAATATAAATTTGTAAGCATACTAATTAGAATAATTGTAAAAGAGAATACTAATTTCAAAACTACTAACAATTTAAATAGCATTTTAATGAAATTTCTGAAATCCTGCATAATTTTTTTTTCTATTCAGGGGAGGAAAAAACGTGTTATATGTTTTCT